GATTTCTATTGTTTCCAACAACAAAACATTTGAATTTGACAAACTCATAACAACTTCAAAATAGGGAAGAAGGAATTTTTCAATAACATTTGAAGGCAGAATCAAACAATGAGATCCAGAAACAAAACAAAAAACAATTATCTGGTATATTGAACTTATTTTGCCAATCAGATTCATCCCAGCCCCTGTAAATTCAAGCAAAGGCTCTGGTTCATAGTTGGTAAAATAGTTCTGACTGAATAATCATTAGACAAGGTCTGTAAAGTAAACAAAAAGAATGTCCTCATGTAGTGAGAAATAACACCTCTAGAAGTGAAGAAACGCTCACCATTGGAAGAGAGAAACACAGACAGACAGAATTACAGGATCGATTAACCCTCCACTAATAGCTGTTAGTATTAATATTTTAACATTCTGTTTATGTAGCAGTAATGGTATAATTTTTACAGAGTCTATATAAAATGCTGTCATAAAATTTAAAGAAGGACCAGACTTCATTTATTTGCTTTTGTGTGTTAATAAGCCTATCCGCTTGTTAAGTCACATGTCACCATTTCTTGGTCCAAATGCTCGATCAGATGCCAAAAGCAAAAAACAAACTCATGGTGTGCTGTTATACTACTGAAAAAAAGAAATTAAAAAGATTATACCTTTATCTCCATACTGAAATCTCAGATGACAGTGATTCATATTTCATGAATCATTAACAAAAAAGCTTAGCTTAAATATGTGATTTCAATATGTGATATGTGACATGCGCCTACTAAGCGGCACAAGCAAATCTCTGTATCTTAATATTTTATTCAGTAAAACTATCAACATACTTTGGTTTTGATCTAGTCAATGAAGCAACACATGCAAAATAAATAAATAAATAAATAAATAACAAAGCACTCACTATTGTTTGTATAAGAGCATCTGCTAAAAGCCCTTAATGTAATGTAAATGTAAATGCATCTATTCCTTTATCCATTTATCCTCTCTGCTTTTTCCAGAGTTCATGTCATGGAAAATGATTTTTTTGGGCTTTTGTTTTCGCATTTAACTACCTACAGATTGCTTCAGATGAATAGACCGCAGGTTCAGTGACTTTTGTAAGCACGGTATAATGAGACTGCCACTGTTTACAATCACTTAGTACAGAAAAGTACATGCAAGCACGTGGATGCAAATGCATGGCCAGCACTTTGCGAGTCTGGAATTGTGCATGCTTAACATGCATTTTGGCACTACTAGGCAGCAACAAACCTCAGTACTCGAGAGTGATAGAGTTACTACTACTCTGTAAATGTCTGTTTTTTCTAACTACCTAAGAAAGCTCTCTTTAAACTGTTCCACTATCAGTATCAGCATTTTCCAAAAGCAACTATTGTCGTATGTTCCATCAGTAGAGTTCAATGGAGCTAACAAACATAGTTAGCTAACAATGCTTTTGGGAAATGCACCCTGTAGTGTGTTTCTCATACAATGACGAACTCACTGCTTAACTGCCATAGTATGATGCATCATAGTAAAAACTAGCTAGTCATGACTGTTTCCTGAACATGGTTGCATCTCCGTCATTAGAACCACGTTGGTTCAATAATACAGGATGGCGCCACATGAAGATTGTGGAGTAATAACTTCTGCTTATTCACTGATTTGATATCTCCGATGCTGTAATGAATATGGCAGCTGATGGCTACTTGATTATTTTTTGTTCCTTGTAATTTAGCTTTTTTGATGTTTGATTTATCACTGGTTCCCCCTGACATCATACTGTATTCCGGGGTTTCGGCATTTATGCACATGCTCACTCTTCAAAAATGGTGCTTATTGAGGACACGCTAAAT